TACTCTCTCTCTCTCTCTCTCTCTCTCTCTCTCTCTCTCTCTCTCTCTCTCTCTCCTCTCTCTCTCTCTCACACACACACACACACACATACAAGCCAGAACATGACAATTAAACCAACAGCATTATAAGATGAAGCATAATAGCAGGGTTCACATGAATAAATCAATTGGCACATTTATTTGTGCCCGAGAAAAAAGCGCTAATCAATAATAGAAGTCTTAATTTTTATTTGTAACATAAAATCCATAATTTGGAATAGTATCATGTCGGAAGTAGTTCTATAATAAATCCATTTACTAAATAGAATTATAAATGCTGTTCAAACACTATACGAGAACTTCAAAAAAATAAATAAGATGCAATATGCACATATATTGACAAGAAAATAAGTCTAATTAAACACAGAAAGCCTTACAAGAAATAGGAAACATGAACATAAGATAAATAAAAGTAACATTAAATCAGAAGCATCAGATGCCGAGCTTAAAGAGCAAAATCCAGAACTTCAAAGTTCAAACAAATAAGACAAAATCAGCACATTCATATGTGAGGAAATAAGCCCAATTCTATATAACAAGACTCTTTAATCAGTTAAAAAAACAGGCCTTACTCTGTAATTTCTCTCATCTCTCTCAAATTAATCAAAGAAACCAAGTAAAACACAGAAACAGACCAGAAAAAACAAGTAATCTCCAAAAAAGATCATCCTAACTAGTAAGGCCCCTTGATTGTATTAGATGATCATAATGCCCCCAAATCCTATTGGTTGCCATTTTCAACCCATATCTCCGATAACAAAGAATTCTGCATAAAACCTCCTGTAGATTTCGACAAAAGCAAGAGAGTGAAAGAAAAAAAAAAGCATGAGGCAACATTTAGAAGGCAATGTGGCTATTTCAAGGAAAACAAATGGATTTCATGGACAGTTCTTGGAAATCTCTCTCTCTCTCTCTCTCTCTCTCTCTCTCTCTCTCTCTCTCTCTCTCTCTCTCTCTCTACTACTACGTACTACGTACGTACGTACGTACGTACGTACGTACGTACGTACTACTTACGTACTACGTTACTACTTACGTACGTACGTACTACGT